CTCGTTCTCAGCCCAATAACTCTTGTCAGATCAATAACGACTTGTATGGCATTAGTATCTATATTGGGCTGGACTTGATTCATAATGAAAATGGTGTTGAAGCTATTGCAGCTTAGTTTGGAGTAAAACAGTGTTTTTTCAATGGACATACTTAGGACATGACTCAATGCACAACCAACATGGTGACAAAGGAACACACATTCTACCTGAATCTGAAGCAGATTGTTGACACATCATTAACTACAAGAAGAGGGTTGGAATCCAAATCACTCACCGCTACAGAGAGGGAAACCAAGTAGCTGATTTTCTTGTTGCCTTTTTCATTCTAAGGACACAAGTAGACAATAATACTAGTGTGCCTACTATACTCAAACATAGAGGAACAACAACCTATAAATCATAGAGGCAAAACGAGTTGGTACATAAGAGAAATTGAGGAGACACAGGATTGTCTGAAGTATGTCAATGCGGCTACAAGTGTGTTCCTTCCGATCCGATCCTTCCATCACCACCTATAACTAGAGGTTGTCATTTGAGGTGTTGCCAAGAAGAAAGTAAGCAACCAAGTACAGATTGGTACTCAGCACAAACTCAACCTAGATCTCAAGTAAATATATTGTTTGATGTTTAATTTTTTAGCCTTTTCGTGGTTTATCCCTAAGCCCAACAACTTGGCTAGCGGCTGGGCTATCCGTGTTTACAACATATAATTCCATCCACATATGGATACAACATATATATACTACTCCCACACTTTAAAATCAGGAAGGCATGACATTGTAACATGACAAAGAACAAAAAAATTATTAGAGAAAATCAAACAAAAAAGAAGTCTCAAATAAGTGTATTAATATAAAATATGATTGCATCAAAACATATCTCACAGTCTTGAGATTTTAAAAGTCACAAAAGAGGGAACACATCATCCTTCAAAACCATCAATTGTCTTAGTTTTGAAATCTTCAAAACAAACAAACAAAATGAAATTAAACAATCACAAATCAGAGCAACCTAATGCTTCTTTGATTCTTAAAATTGTGGCGCTCAAAACACCATGAACCGAACCCACTACCTCCATTTTTTGCTGCCTGGAGGTTGGATTATTATTACCACAAATCATTATTTGAAATGTCACTGTCAAAATTGAACCATTTTGTGCATTTGGAGTGCTGTCTCTATTCGAGGAGAGACGACCATCGGGACTTATGATGATACCAGAGGGCAAAATGGGAGCTTTCGTTGCATCACCTCCATTGACAATTGAATTGATTGCTCGTAAATCTATGGGTGCATAGACTAAAAATGCTCCCATTTCATCAATACTCATCTCTTCAAGCACTAACATTTCCTTATGCATATTATAAGGCTGTTTATGCATTACAATAATTAAGAAATATTAGGGTAAATACTATAAAAGAATAAGTGACGATAAGTTATGTTTCTAAACAATAAAAAATTCACAGCAAATCCTACTTAATAATGAATTATAAAAGGATTATAAGTAATTTTGTTACCTATATGGCTATAGGTCATTTAACAACAGATTTACGAGGAATTTCATAGCTAAGTCTTGTTCTTATTCATAGTGAAATATATTTAGCATTATCAGTTTACCTAAAAGATAGTTAAATATAATTATTGGATCACCCAAAAAGCCAAGTGAAATTATAAATATAGAAATAAGACAAACAACAATTTGCTATAAATGGCAAAGCTATAATCAGTGTATATAAATTAAACATGAGATTGTTAGTCTTTTTTTTGTGTGTTGTAATTGTTAATTGAATACAAGTCAAAAGTAAAATTGGATCGTAGAAAATTCATTTTGATTCAATAATTATAGAACAAGAAGTCAAAAGGAAAAAAAGATACAAGTTTAGAAATTTTGGTATTTTTGCATGAGAAAAAAGATAAATCCAGTCATACGTAATATTATTTGATTCTTGAAAAATGTCATTATTACATGATAATTTAGGCAGAAATATCTAATTATAAATAAATAAATATGACAAATACCTGAATAATCGTAATGTTGTTTCCAGGAAAAGTCCCCGTTAGTACTCGATCTAATTCAATCACATTATTTCCACCGGTCAAAATATCCCACTAAAAAAAATCAAATGATAAACAATATTATAATTTAATTGACAAAAAATTATTTTGTGGGATGAGTATTATTTAAGATCACGTATTTAAAACAATATATGTACAATCAATGCCAAGACTAGCAAAACATGTAGATAATATAATATGTAGGGGCTTGAAAAAATAAAATCGACTGATAAATCGAATAAAAAATGTGCTATTGGTTTATTTCTATTAGCTTAATGGATTTTAATGATATATATATATATATATATATATATATATATATATATATATATATATAAAATTATCGGGTAACTAGTTTTGTATTTATTTTTTAAATATTGGGTTATAGGGTAAACTATTAACTCATCAAGACTATTGTAATGTACAACTTTACCATACATAAATATTATATATTAATCCTTATACACTAATTATTATTTTTGCCTTTTAGCCTTCCATTCACACTTCATGGTGACTTTGAGTTCATAATTTCACATTATATAAAACGTCTAAACCTAATATAAGAATCTTAGTCCTCTTAATTACTCTGTGTGTAACACTTGTATAATTTTTTTAGGTTAGTTATTATTGTTTCTATTTTATCAGTATTTGTACAATTACATTATTATTTTATCGCATCAAATTATTGGAGAAAAGTCATATATTTTAAAATCATTCTTATTGGTTAAACTGAAAATTGAACTTTTAAGGACCAAAATAGATTAAAGATATCTTATTGGTTTAACTTTAGTTTAGCATATTTAAAAACGAATAAACGTAACCTATAATATATCAAACGAACCGAGTTGACCTATGCACACTCTAGTTACCAGGGAACATATTATTAGCAAATCAATCATATTCAAAACTTTAGCTAATTGTTTTAAAAAATCCTTAACACTAAACTAATTATATTTTAATGTTAACATTATGATATTTATTGAAATAATTGAGAGTTTTACATAAAAATCTATACATGAATTGAAAAGTAAATTTCTATATGCGTATTTTTAGGGGTCATTCGGTTAACAAGATATAAAAGGATTGAAAATGTAAAAACTACTTCTTTTCTTAGATGTTTGGGTCATTGCATTAAAAATTGAATATCAATGCAAAGATATATACGATCATTCATTTTTATAAAAATCATTCCCTATAACAATTTTTCACCTATTATATACTTTAACAACAATATATTATTTGTAATCGCACAATGTGGATCCTGTAGAGGGTAGAATATACACAAATCTTACCCTTATATCATGAACGAGAGAGACTATTTTTGAAATACCCTCGGCCAATTCAATGTAGAATCAAAGTTTTATTCGGGAACAACATAAATTTTATGTATATTATTTCGTTATCTATAATAACATTTCGGTATAAAAACAAAAAAAAAAATTCCAAACAATTAACATTATTATAAAGAGGTTCGACACATACCTGATTTCTTGTCTTGTAATCATTGAAGAAACTGAAGACATCTTGGAATGAAAGAGAAAGCCATAGAGAAGTAGTTGCAATGGCAATAAAGCCTTTTGGTTGGATAGTTTCTTCATTTTTTACTATTGAAATCCTATCTCCACGGTTTAACTGTGGTGAGATCGAAAAATCTCCATGGTTGTCTGTCATGCTTAGAATTTCAAAAAACTTCTTAACCATCCTTTGAGATACTTGTATCGTATTTTTTAGCCCTTCTGGATCATGAAACACTGAAAGTAAAATGAAATTTAAATATTACAATAACATATATATCTAGTATAATTCCACAAGCGACATCTGCAAAGGGTGGTCATATCTTGAGAAGGTAGAGGGATTGTTTTTGATAGATCCTCATTCAAGTAAAGTATATCCAAATTCAGTTATGAAAAGCAAATACATAAGGATATAAAGGAGACAACATGTAATACTAAAGTAGAAATAAAATATTAGGAAAGTAATTATAATAATATTAATAAAGAAACAAGATAAGTGTGTCTTTTTTGTTTTTTGGAAAATAATTTTTTTAGGAAATCTATTTTTATTTTCATATTTTGTTTTGAAATTACTAAATATATTTTCTATAAAAAAATAAACTTTCATTGAAGACTGATAAAAAATATTAACATATTGGAAAGTATTTTGATAATATTTCTACATGTTAAAGATAATAATAATATTTGAGTGTCGTTAAAGCACTGATATAATACTCATAGTTGAGATGATTGTAAAGAAAATGACTTTACACGGAAAATGAGAGAACTGGTCATTTTTGTTGTTCCTTTGATTGGAATTTATTTTCTCTATAAATTATTTTCTTGGCCAATCAATAAACATCAAAAAATAAACAAATTTTTAATGGCTTAAATCATACCAAACACACCCCTTAAGGAAATACAAAAAGTTTGAAAAGGAGATGTTTTAAATAAAAAAAATGAGAAAATTGTCAATAAAAATGACATTCGAAATTAAAAGAGTGATCATTTTCCGAGCCCATTAAAACCAAAAAATTCACTGGTCGAACGTGTTTTAAATATGTATTATATATATACCTCATAGATTAAAAAAATTTAAAAGGTCATATTTCAAACATATAAACAATGAAAAGAGATGGATCTGGAACCCCTTTAAGATTTTTAACTTTTTAAGTAAAACTGCCTTGAATTGATGAAAAAATTACAATTGATTCTTTTCTCACCTTATAAATTAAAATTCAAAAAAGTAGTAAATAAATAAAGGGAATATAAAATCAAACCTCCTTTGGAATCATGCCTGTTAGGGTATGTTGAACCCATTTGAAAATTAAATCTCTCACACATCCTTCGAAGTGTAACAATCCATCTTTTAGCTCAGTATGCTTCACGATCACACAACAAATCTCTAAAGATATGATTAACCTGATATTTTTCATATACTTGAACATGTTCCACTCAAGTAACCTGCAAAAGTAAAAATAATCAAGAAACAAGAATAAAAATAATTAACTTAGTTGGAAAATAATGAGGAAAGCGTGTTTGAAATTTGTATTTTTTTAGCAATGGATGTCATAGGCAAGAATTGAAAAGGACCTATGAGGAGAAAGAATAATCCTCGCTCTTTTGATTCAAACATCTGTGACATGAACAACAGTGTATAGGCCGGAGTTGCACATAGAAATGAAGACTAACAACTCTAATAGCATGTTAAAAAGATAGTTATTGAATCTAACTCAATCCTAAAATCAAACTTATCAGGTTATGGGGGATTTTCCAAGGTTATACACAAAGAGAAAGATTATTTTCTAAAACAATATGGGGACACTTAAGTAAGCCCCCCATGCAAGTCCGGAAGCTGATCATTTGGAGAATAAATTAACAACATAACATGACGACCCAAAATTAGATAAATCGAGAATAAAGATAGTTTGACTCTTATATAATATTAGAAACAATAGACATCATGAAATAGGCATAAGAGTAAATTTGTACCTATTTAATATACCATTTGAAAAATAAGCTACATATAAATAGTGATATGTATGTTTCCCGTTTGACTTGTAGAATAACACTGCAATACTCAAACAAATGTGAAATATAGCTAGAAAGAAAGAATCTCTATGGATCCAATGGGTGCATACTTATTTCATAAAGAATAGGGTGGTCGAAACTGTCACTTTACCTACTACTGCTTTATTGGTAGTGCGAATGACTTTGAGTACAAGAGATTTGATAATCCCAAGGCAAGATGGGCAGAGTGAGTTGATGATGGACTTTGCAAAGGCACAAAAAGGTGGGAAGTTTTCTACCAAGAAGATGAATAACTATATCATGCCTAATTTTACAAGAGTAGAATGGAAAAGTAGTACTTTGCAACGAGGAGTACATCCAAGATTCAAATTCATTTTGTGGCTAGCTGTGCAGAAAACATTAGCAATTGTTGAAAGACTTGAAAAGTTTGGTATTCAGGTGTCAGCTGAATATGTGTTCTGTAGTAACAGAAAGGAAACCTTTGAACCTATTTGTTTTGATTGCCAAGTGACAAAGACATTATGAGAAAGAATGTGCATCTGGATAGAAACACCAAAGAAGTATTCATGACTGAATCAAGACTAGTGTTTTTGTGAGGATTGAATATATCATTTAGAGAGAAAGAAACAAGATTAGCTTCTATCGAGTAAGATTATATGTTGATAAGGTCTTTAGAGAGATTGTACTGCATATTCATCTAAGAGGACAACACAAGGCAATATGGAAATCTTTTCTACAAACACTATATAAGTATCCTTACATTTCCTTTGTAATAGATTAGTTTCTTGATTTGTTTTATGTATGAGTAGGAAGTTAGATGGTAAGAAGAGAAGTTCTTATGGGTGTTTGTATGTAATGATTTGTTAGTAAATGAACATCCTTGTGATAAAAAATAAAATAAATTTCAAGAACAAATGCATGATAAGACTACATACAATTGACCACAGTAATATGGACCACGTGTATAGAGGGAGCTTAATGCACATAATTTTCCTATTATATAAATATTGATATAGAGAGAGGATATGATTCTTACCTTACTTTGGCCATTGCCCATATCTTGAATTGCACAACCAGATGGAAACTTCCAAGAATAAGAAGGTACACCACTCTGAATGTCGTTGAATATATCATATGAAATATCCACCATGATCCATGTTGTTACATCAGGTTGTCTACAACCACGTATGAACAAAAACTCTCTAGCTTCAACTAGAGGAGATAAAATATGCAACTTTTCATACATCTGAATTCAAGAAAAAAAAAAGATCATTTTATGAGTCAATTTCAATATTGATTTAATTTCTAGGGGAAAAATCTAAAAGATGGATTAATATTTTACCAATTGCATAGAGCCTCCCCAAGTACCAGAATCAAGAACTTCAATAGTCTTAGCTTTTGTGACTATAGTAGGAAACAAGTTCATCCATTTGACCTACATATAAAAAACAATTACTTTTAAGCATATGATTAATTCTTAAAAATAAGTATGACAACTATGTCTAAAAATAAGTAATGATTTTCCATGTCCATAACTCCATATAAACTCATCTTAATCAATATTGTATGGGAGCAAATTAAAAAGCGAAATGGTATCAACCTATTGAGAAATAGACAATTTTTTGAGTTAGATTTAAAAATATCATGACAGTTTCTTAGATCTCTCACTTGCTCAAGTTCGAAATCCATGATATTGGCATGGTATGTTTCCACATGAGAAGTGGTAAGTGTCCAACGAATTCTCACATAATGGATACTTTTCAAAAATCAACTAGCGCTCCCAATCTTTAATATACAAATCATATATATATATATATATATATATATATATATATATATATATATATATATATATATATATATATATATATATAAAACATGAAAGTGTTCATGAAACTTACTGGATCAAGAAAATTATGGATCAACTCAACTGCAGTCATTGACACAATTCCACAATCCTTTGATGATTCAATTCGACCCGTTGATGTTTGGGGAGGTAGAACTTGATTTGAAAAGTTTCTTCCATAAATCTCATGATGAATAAAACACCGCCTATCACTTGATGAATCTACCCAAAAAGGATCATTCATCTTCCAAAGTTCAACCATTTCATTCATAGAAGCAACAACAGTCTCAAACATAATTGTTTGCTGCCTACTATCATGATTACATTCATCATGTTCTTGTGGTGATTGAGAGATCATTGAATGTGCATGAAAATTATTACTATTTTGATTGTTTTCTTGACGAAGAGGAGGATATATAATGGGAGAGCCACGTGTGTCTTCGTTCAACAAACTTCCATCAGATGAATTTGAAGGTGATCCAAGAGTCGATATTTGTGGTGCCAAATTTGAATCCATCACAAAAGGTCTTCCAAAAACATGTGAGATGAGACTTGATACTTTTTCATCCTGAAAAAATAAAATTTTAAGTTAATTTACTTAAATATAGGTACGTATCTAAATAAACATATTTGAGAAGTGTATAATTTGCTATTAGTGTATATAATTTAAATTCTTTCAATCAATTAATTGATTGTGAGATCAACATTATCTCTCTTGTCAAGGGAGGGTGCAACTCATATGCACGGGGCGGAAACAAATGCAAGATATAATTTAACACATTTAACACTATTGTAAATCTCATTAAAAAGAGAATCACCATGTTTAACATACTATCACAACCCTAACAAGGTTTGAGCTCATCTATCCCTACGACCTTTTGTTAGGGATAGATGAATCTTATCCATACTATCACAACCCTTGGTAGTAGAATTCCAAAGATTAATTGTTGTATTTATAAAATTATTGATCCAGAGATAATATTATTTGATCTGACTCCTTCATTTTTTATTATAAGTTATGTTCTAATACCTTAAATTCTGGATTAATCCATCAAGTTCAAACCATGAATTTGCCTCGTCTTTGTTATATATAAGTAATTCTTTTCAGGATAAATAGAAAAATTAACATAAAAAATAAAATAAATAGGATAAATCGAAGGTTGAATAACTTGTTATGTCAACCATTGATTTTCTGTTTTCATATTTTCTAAATTACGTTCTCTTTCTTCTTTTCCAATAGGAAGTCCATCACATTTTGGACACATAATATTCTTCATTGCCTCTTTCATTGCCTTATATTCACAAAGAATTTTTTTTATTTTCGAAGAGCATTGTTAATGGATGTCTCAATTTTAGTCTGATGAAATCTATATAACAAAAATTAATCACATATCGAATAACAATACAAACTTAATATAACATATAGGTAACTAAATAATTGTACAAATAATTATTATGTTAAATTTTCATTCTTCACAAATAAAGGATCAATAGTTCACACTCCAATAAATTGAAGAGTTATGTACTGAGCAAGATATTACTTGTATCAGAATTAGAATATTATAATAATTGAAGGACAAAACATGGTACTAAGCCTTTTTATAATGCTTGAAAAATATTTTTTCCATTCATCTTTGCTTAAAAGTTCAAAATTCCATTCTAATTTGAACCACATATACATTCTTCCTCGTATAAGAAATATATTTTAGAGAATTTTTACATAGGTGAAAAAATTAATCCATGAAAATTTAGTTTACTCAACTTGCCTAAATTTAGCTAGAAGTTCTGAACCACATATTATCTGAATCACTACTACTACCCATAGTTCCCACAACTAAAAACTTCTCTATGATATCAAGAGTACTGATCATATTCAAGCTACACTATTTTATCCTCGGTTTGTTACCTAGTATCCTCTTCTTCCTCTCCCTTACAATCAGAAATCCACCAGATGGAGTTAGTGTTAGGTCGTTAAATTCTCACTCGGGATAACCAACAGTCTTTATGAAGAACTTTATGTTCCTTCCTAAGAAGCAAATAGTCTATATGAGTTTTATCTACCGTGCTATGGAAGGTGACCAAGTTCTCCTCCTCCTTCAAGAAACTTGAATTGACTACCACCAACCCAAAAGCTATTGAAAAATTCATAAGTGAGACTCCTCCGCATTCTTGTCTCTGAAACTGAAACCTCCATACTAATCACTTCACCCCATTGGAGTAGACTCGATGTGACCATTGAAATCTCCTTCTATGAATAACTTCTTTCTATTTGAAACACCTCCACCCACCTCGTCCAAATCCTCCCAAAAAGACTTCTAGTCCTCCTTGTCCAAGACAATTTGCAGAGCGTAAGCACCAATAATGTTCAAACTGGAATCTCCAATCACTAACTTAATCATCATCATCCTATCATTGATCATCCTTACCTCAGTCACTTCCTCCCTAAGCTCACAATCCGCTAAGATGCCTACTTTATTCCTAATCGTTATACCTTTCGAGTAGCACAACTTATACTTATCCATATCACATGCCTTCTATCCTTCTCATTTGGTTTCCTGGATACAAGTTATCCTTCTCTTTTTGAGAATCTTCACTAGCTCTATGAAATTTCCTACCAAAGACCATACTCTTATTGTAAATGTGATAAATATAGTCATGTTAAGAAAATAACATTGTTTGGTAATTGAACAACTAACGAGAAAAATTACTTTTTGATAGAAGTTGAAAAATTGGGTTGTGGTCTATTTTAAGCCCAACCCAACCCAAATAACTTATTCATCAGCTCATTTATTTATACAAGTTATTTTGACTAGCCTGGACTTCATTCAATTGGTCCATTGTCAAATAATCTTGGAAAGGAAATCATTAGTTTTGAGTTGCAAAACCAAATTTTTCTGACTTTAAATTCTCAAAACCTAGAAGGGATTCAATTTTTTGTCCATTTTATAATTCCTTGCTAATTATTGAACTTGCTAGGGAGTTCATGCACTTTGAATTATTTAAAATGCTTGTATTATTGATTTTATTAAGCAACAACTTAATTGACTTAGAGGTTAGATAATGAAAATAATTTAAATGAAAAGAAATTTATTTAATAAAGTTCATATATTAATGAGAGAACATACTTTCAAGTTTATTGATCAATTCAACATGGAAAATCAAATTAGTGATTTAGGAAAACTATATAAAAATTGAAAAGTGAAATCATCAAGAATGGAATTTATTGTACGCGGCCCGGGGGGTTGGTGATAGTGGAAGTAAACAACTTGATTATAACGAGGAATAAATTATCTTATTTATTCACACATCCTAACAACTTAACCAAATATAGAGAAACAATTTACCAATAGACCACTGCTTTCATTAAATTATTTCAACTTTTGTCATTACTTTTTCTAGATTTTTGAAAATTTTAATGAAAAAAATATATTAATTTATTGTAGTGTGTAAACAACAACAACAACAACAACAATAATATCCAATCAATTAAGTACAATTGACAATATATAAAAGAATTAAATAATCAAAATTACCTTTGCTTGAGCCCTTCTGTTTTGGAACCAAAACTTGACCTGCTTATGGTCAAGCCCTGCTTCGCTACCCAATTGTTTTTGTTGATCCTCGTCTAGTTGCGGGCATTTCTTGAAGAATCTTCATTCAAAAATTCATGAAGAGAAAATATTATTGATCATTTTTTTTTATAAAATAAACCAAAAAAAGAAAATAACAAAAAAATGTCACAAATACATGGTGGATTAACAAGTATTTCTCCATCATTAATCATGTCTTAAGTTCGAGCATTGGAACTAAAATTTTGGTAAGGAACGTTTAACCGTAAAATGGGACTTGATTCCTCACTTGAATTTGAATTTGTCGGGCCCTGAATCAACTACCAGATACTCACTAATGATTGAGGAGTAGTAAGTACTCTTTTATCCTTAACTAGAAGCCTCGTGTTGAGTCATGGGACAAGAGTTGTCACCATTGATTGGGAGGGGTTTAGCCCCCCCCCCCCCCCCCCCAAAGTGAGACTTTGTGATGCAAATATGAACTAAGCAGATCCTAAAGTGTGATTTGTCAATGCAAATCTAGATTAGTCGGTCCCAAAAGATAGATTTTCTATGTGATCTAAGATTAGTTGGGCCCTAAAATGAAATTTATCGACACAAAGTTAAATTAGTCATACCTCAAAAGGGGTATCAAACATGATGGGAAATAGATTGTTTGTGTTTTTGGTGCAAAAATTGGAAAGACATTGAACTTTAACGAACTCATCTTCTTATGCTAAACTCATAAAGAACAAACAAGTTCATTTATAATGATGTATATATAACAGATTAATCATCATGATAAATTATATCAAAACCATTTTAGCAACTCAACAAAAGAAAACAGGAAATGTGAAATCAAAAGTACAAATCTTGTATTTAATATAGTGGACATGTGGGGAACAAGAATAAAACCAAAAGAAAAATCAATAAAAAAAATATATCAATTGATGCACAAAAAATACATACAAAAAGAAAATCAAATATTCTATCACTAATGAAATTTAATTTTACTACTGATAATTTAATTTTACCACTGATGCAGTTTAAGAAAATACATCATCTCTTTGAACAAACAAAAAAAATGAACAGATATATCCGAAGGATCAAATTAATTTTTTTTTCAAAAAAAAGTTGATCTTACGCATCAAGTATTTGAATTTGTTCCATAGAATATTTGTGGTATTGTCCATGACTTTCCGATCTTTTTTGCGAATTTGATGATTCTCCAGCCGGTTCTTCCCCAGAATCTGTCATATTTTTGGATAATTTTCTGTTTGATACAACAAAATAACAAAAGAAACACAAAAACTAAGTGTTAATCTATTTGATTTTATTATGTAAACAATTAATTTATATAAGAAACAACTAAAATAGAACAAAAAGAAAAAAAATAAAAGAGAATTTTTGTAACACACCTTTTGATTGATGAGTAGTGATAGAGGAAATCAAATATAATGGTCTATTTATAGAGTAGTTGATTGTACATATGAAAGATACATAGAATCTGATATTAAAAAAAAGAGACGGGGGGGGGGGGGGGGGACTCTAAAGAATACTAAGGGTTTGTTTGGAAAGACACCATGATAATTCAATTTGGTGTAATTATATTATCTAACCTATTACTTGGTCAGGAGGTAATTTCACTTTTCAATTCCTAGGGAGGATATGTGAATTGTTGATAATTACATGGTGTAATTACAATATAATTATTATTTAATTCTTCCTTTTATTTTATTTTTGCATTTTAATTTATTTTCTATTATTATAAATTCTTTTTCTATTGTTCATTATTCTAAAATTTTCTAAAAGTTTGTTTTTTATTGTATATTATTTATATTTTTTTTCCATTCTCATTCTCAACCTTTACTTCATGTGATTCTATGCAATTATTTTGCATTCTCTATTTTTTAAACATATTCATTTATTTCATTAACATAATTTTGCTAGTATTTTAAAATTAAATTAGAATTCAGAGTAAGATTATAGACTTATGTTTTCCTATTCTTTTCAATCATATGCATGAATGTCATTTTGAAATTTAACATATAAAATATACATTAAATTTTTTTGATTCTAGAACTTATGTTATATTTTTAGTTTCATTTGTTTTAGTAGTATTGATTTGAAACTTCACATTGCAAGTTATATTTTTTTAATAGACTTGATATATTATCTTTTTGTCACATATTTTAACATTTTATGACATAATATTAATCTTTTTGTCTAGCATGCATTTATATATATATATATATATATATATATATATATATATATATATATATATATATATATATATATATATGAAACATTTATTAAGTTTCTTATTTTTCTAATCTGAATTTTAAATAATTAATTTTTAATTTTCAAATTTAATATAACTTTATGGTTGCATTTGTACATCCAAACAACACATGTGTAATTATAGTTTAATTCCACTGTGGCAAATAAGCAAGTAGATGTCGTTATAAGGTTGTATAATTATTATGTTGATATTTACTATCCTAATAATTACATCAATTCTTTCAAACAGACAAAAAACGTGAAGAGTGAAGATAACATAGGAATTTGAATTTGTTTTGATTTTCTCTCTTAAAAGATTTGGTTTGATATAAGTAGATATGGTAAGTAATTTATAAATTTTATATTTAAATTACAAGTTAATGCCTTAAATGGATATTTGAGAACAATTTTTTCCTTCAAATCACATAATTATTTTTCTAATAGTAAAATCACAATTTTTAAAACGATTTTTTAAATATTTAATGTAATATTTAACAAACTCAATTAAAAGAGGATAGACAAGACTTGTCCCCTAAAGAATTAAGGAAAAATGACATGGAATATGCCTCTCAAATTCAAAATTTAGAGTTGATATATCATTTGTTACTAAAGTGACTCGTATATACTCCTATTATTACATAAATAGCTCAAATATATCATTTTTGTCTAATGGGAGTGTAAAAAATAATTAAATTTATTTTATTTTTTTGATATATTATTAAAAACAAGAATCTATATAGGTATATTTGATTTGTTCGCAAAGTTAAGAGGTACACTTGATCTTTCTCAACTATGAGTTTTTTCTCTACGTTCTTTAATTCAATGAATATTTAAATTTTACTATCTTAGCTAGGTAATTTTTTGACGGTTCGCGCGGTCATAAATAATAATTGCATTGAACTTGCAAATAATTGTTTACTAATATCCATACATTAAAAATAATAGAAAAATTGACTCTTAAAAAAATATTAGCAATATTCCAATATGAATTTGATTCTTTGTCATTATCACATAAGTCAAGAACCTCTAATGAATGATTTATTAACGATATAATAAATAATTGGTTCCTTAATTAACATTCAAAGGAAAATAAAGAAGAAAATATGAATATATATACAAAGGCGTTTCGTAATGAAAAAAAACATTTAAGTTGTACAGATTATACAATTGTGATATATGTCCAAAGAGAATTCAAAATTTTGTTAACATATTCAAAAAAGAAATTATGCTTACACATGAAAACAAGTATATCTTTTGAACATGCATAATGAATTTCTTCAATTGATAAGTTAGAAATTTCATATTTATGTACGAAAAGATAATATGTAAACTTATATATAGTATTTTTACAATACTTATTTTTTGTACAATAAATATACGTACTATATATGTATATTTTCAATATAACCGGAGAAAATAACTTTGCATAAACATAAAAAAAAGTTTAAAATAGGTACTCAAAAACAATAATTAATATCATAAGCATAATCTAAAGAGTGTAAAAAACATACCAGTATATGTATAAATAGAATAAAATATAAAGAAAAAAATCGAGTCCACTGAATACACAATGTCACCTTAAGAAAACTATTCCCCTCCAATACAAGAGGTTTAAAGAATTATATCCTCTCTGGATGAAATAATTTTATTCACCAACTAGTGGTATTGGTAAGTCATTCAAATGGATCAAAGTACAAAATTAATTTCGCGAAAGTAGAAAAAAAAGATCAGAAGTTTTTGTTGTTTTAAAATGAGAGGCAATCATTCTATTTATTGACAACAAAGTATACTGTGAACAAATGTTTATTGTGCATTATCAGAAAGGTTACAACTATTTGAAAAAGTTTCAATCCCTCGAAAAGTTAACAACCTTTAATAAAAGTCACAAACTTTTCATAAAGTCACAAATTTTCATTAAAGCCACACCCTTTCATAAAAGTCACAACTTTTGATACAAGTCGCAACTCTTCATTAAAGTTGTAACTTTCCATAAATGTCATGTCTTTTCATCAAATATGAAGGCTAGTTTTGAAAATAAATAAATTTAAATGAAAATTATTGCTTGTAGTGGCACCACATAGGCAGACCTAGGGTTCTCTTTTATATAAAGGAAATTATTGCTTGTGGTGGCGGGCCTAGGGTTCTCTTTTATAGAAATATATGATATGATGATGATCAAATTTATTTCTACACTCATTCTCTTATAAAATTTATCATAAACCCCCTCCCCCACCTTTTTTTTCCAAATAAAATAACTTACAATGTAGCCTCAAAAGCAAAATCTTGAATTATTTTGTTCTTTTTCCATTCACGTTTCTTCATTTTTATTTCTCATATTTTCACACTAAAAATTAAAGGGAAAAGGATCGGATATAACCCTCAACTTTACAATTTATAGCTAATATATACCTTGTTTCAAAAGTCATTCACGTATACTCTGAACATTACACAAATGACTCAGACATGAAAATTTTGTGAATTTAAGGGATACATTGGAATGGAGTGATAAGTAAAACGTATAGCGAAAATTTAAGTGTCGTCAAAAATGAAAAGTATTTAAAAATATATGGAAGATATCTAAAGAGTAGAGAATTTTGGGCTCATTTTAGGCTTTTAGTATACCAAAAGTAATGTTCTCAATGTCTATTTACAACTTATTGTGATCAAATGTATTTGTATTTCAATTATGAGACCTTAAACCTGGATACAAAAGAGAACAAAAGCAGCCAAAAAACATTAGGAAATATGCAAAGTCGACAGTGAGTGTCACCTAAGTTGACTCGGTACATCGCGAAAAATTACAGTTCTTAACCCTCAAGTTCATCTCAGTTTGGAAATATCAAGGAGAAGTCGGCGTATCGTCAATGTGATTCGGCGATGGTCATTGGTG